AGAAGAGCTGACACTAATACTAAAACTTTATCAGAACACAGAAAAAAAATGAAAAACTCCCAAATTCCTTACATGAATCAAAGATTATTCTGTTACAAAGCTAGGCAAAGATACCACTATGAAAGAAAATTATAGATCAATATTCCTCAGGAACATAGATGTAAAAATTCAAAACAAAATCCGAGCTAATAGAATCTAAAATCATATAAAAAATAATACATCATGTCCAACTGAGATTCATACCAGGTATACAAGGTATACAACATTAGAAAAACAATCAGTATAACCCACCACATAAATAAAACATTGGAAAAGAATATGATCATATGTATCAATGCAGAAAAGTCACTTGATAAAATCCAATATCCTTTCCAATAAAACTCTCAGCAAAATAGGAATTGAAGGGAAATTATGCAACATATCTAAGGGCACATATACAAAACCAGCAGCCAACAATACTGTTAATGGAGACAGGGGAAAAAACATTCCCTTAGAGTACAGGAACCAGATAAAGAATGTCCTTTATCACCACTCTTCTTTAATATTGTACTGGAAGTACTAGCCAGAACAACAAGGCAAGAAAGTGAAACAAAAGACCAAATTGGAAAGGAAGAAGTAAAACTATCCTTATTCTATGGACCCTATACATAGAAAATCCCAAAGGTTCTACAAGAAAGCTATTGTCACTAACAGAAGGATTCAACAAGGTGGCACAGTAGAAGATTAACACACAAAATTCAGTCAGATTCCTCTACACTAACAAAGAGAACTCTGCAAAGGAAATCAGAAAAACAATACCATTTAAATAGCTACAAAAAAAGAGGACATATTTAGGAATAAATCTAGCCAGAGTTATAAAAGACATACAAGAAAACTACAAAATACTACGGCAAGAAACTAAGAGAGACCTACATAAATGGAAGAACATACTAAGCTCATGGACAGGAAGATTTAACGTTTTGAAGATGTTAATACTACCCAAAGTGATCTATAAGATATAATACAATCCTGATCCAGACTTCATCAGCATTCTTTAAAGAGATGAAGATTTCAAACGTTACTTACATTTGAAGAATCACCAACTTGATATGGAAACGAAAGAGACCCTAGATAAGCAAAGTACTACTGAAGCTCAACAAAGTAGGTGGTCTCACACTTTCTAATCTCAGAACCTACTATAAAACTGGGGAGTCAAAACAGCTTGGCACAAGTATAAAGATAGACACACAAACCAATGGAACAGAATTGAGACTCCAGAAGTAAATTCATCCCAAGGATGGCTAATCTTTGACAAAAGGCTGAAATGGGGGAAGAGACAGTTTCTTTCACAGATGGTGCTGGCAAAACTGGATATCCATTTGTAGAAAAATATAACAGTACCCTTATTTCTCATCATATACAAAAACTAACTTATTATGGATCAAAGACCTAAATGTAAAATCTAAAACTATAAAGATCCTGGAAGAAAAAAAACAGGGGGCTAATTTAGGGGCCCTAGTTTATGGCATAAGTGGTCCATGAAACATAACTAAAAATTCATGAACAGTAGAAGGTAAGTAAGATGACTGGGTAGCGCAGTGCCTAAGGCACTTGACTGCTAACCAGAAGGCTGGATGTTCAAACCCACCAGCCACTCCTCAGAAGAAAGATGGGGCAATCTATTTCCATAATGATACCACCTCAAGAACGGGTCACTATGAGTCGAATCTGACTCAATGGCAGTACGATGCATCTGCGTTTTTTTTTTTTTTTGCCTTTACATAATCATCTTCAGAGACAGTTTCTGTGCCCCCTCCCCTTTTTTTTTGTTTTGGTCATTTGTTTGATGGTTCCATTCCTGTCTCTTCATATGCTTTATAATTGTCTGCTGTCTTTTTAACATTAAGGTGTTTTTTTTTTTTTTTTTTACAGTTTTTCCTTTGATAATTGAAAGCTCAACATTTTCTCTTTGGCTGCATCCCTTCTTGTGTACTGTTTTTGTTATTACTATTTTGTAATAGAGGGATATCTGTCTTTGGAGCTACTGGTTGGCTAGGGGTGATTTCTCCTTGTAAAGTTAACAGTGATAGGTAGGAGTCTCAAAAGAGTTTGTTGTTGTTATGTGCCATAGAGTTGGACCCGACTCATAACGACCCCTTCTGGGGTTTCCGAGGCGGTATCACTGTGGAAGTAGATTGCCCAACCTTCCTTCTGAGGAGTGGCCGGTGGATTTGAACCGCCAGTCTTCTGGTTAGCAGTCAAGTGCTTTAGGCACTATGCTACCAGAGCTCCTCAAAAGGGTTTATGGCATCGCAAATATAAGACTTCCTGCAGTAGGCTGCCTGCGGGTGGAAGGACAAAATCACTTACCCATTGTGAGGTGTGCTGTGATGTTGATAGACAGGGTCACTCCTCAGTGCTTGAGGGATGGCAGGGCCTTTCTGTGCAAATGTCAATGGGTGATATGGCCCCAGAAGGCAGGGTGGGTGCTCTCTGGAGGTGTAGGCAGGCAGTGTGGCTAAAGGGCGCAAGGTGTGTGGCTGTGAAGGGAGCACTGTATCCTCCATGTGAGCATGCATGGGAGATGGAGCTAAGGGGGCAGTGTGGTCTCTGTGCATGGGTGGACAGACACAGCTCTGGGAATACGCTTTGTGGAGCAGGCTTCTGTGGTGGTGGGCTTGCTCTGAAAACGACCAGAGATAGGCAACAAGCCTTCAAGGAGGTGAGGCTCACCTACTGAGGGAGTGCAGGCAGGTAGTATGGCTAAGGGAGGCCTGGACTTGTCCTCTGCACAGTGTGGGAGAGTGGCATAATTTGGGGAGTGTTGCAGAACAAGTGTTTAGGGGTGAGACTCCCATTGTATGGAGCTGGACCTGCTCTGAAAGGGGCACCTTGCTATTTTTCTCAATGAGTTGCCTGAGCAATGGGTATCTCCAGTCTTCTTGTTGTTGTTGTTATTTGCCATCGAGTCAGCTGACTCCTAGCAACCCCTCCTTGGGTTTCCGAGGCAGTTATCACTACGGAAGTAGGATTGCCCAACCTTCCTTCCGAGGTGTGGCTGGTAGGTTTGAACCGCCAGCCTCCTGGTTAGCAGTCAAGTGCCTTAGGCACTATGCTACCAGAACTCCATTTCAGGTCTGCTGAGGGGTCCTGGGTAAAATTTCTGGCTCCCTCCCTTTCTTGCACTCACCAGGAATATAGGAACTGAATCCTCCACTCCGGTACTTTCCCTGTGCTCCTCCTCACTTGTGTACAAGAGTTTTATCTATCCCTTGTCCTTAAGTTCCTAGAGACCAATCTGTACTGCTTTACTCCAGCAGTACTTCCCTGCAGTTTTCCAGTCATAAAGTTATGTTGCTCCCTTTTGTTTCTCTTTTTGCAGTGTGCCCAAGCCAGGTATGCAACTTGCCCACCTCAAGTGCTCTTCTGAGGCTGTTTACACAGTACTTCTGTCTCAGGCTGTTTTCTATGCTGTCCCTTTCTGGACTCAACTGAATAATGCCTGCAGCCATCCCAGTATGGTCACATTATGCCAGACTGACAGGTAGGATATGGAAGATCCTGAATTCCATTCTCCAGCTGCTCTTGTTCTCTCTCTCTTCTGATTTGTTATCTAGACCGTTTCTTGAATCCCTTATTTGTTTTCAGAGTTGCAAAGTGATAGTTGGTGTAGATTCTTACTTGTTTTCTCTAGATAGTATTGCAGGGGGACATTAAAGTGTGTCTGTCCAAGCTGCCACGGCTTCTCCTGCCCATTACTGTATATTTTGATTAAAAAGTATATAGATGAATCCTGATAAAAAGGGGGGACATACAGAACAGAATTTTAAATTATCATAGAATCCAGACTTTCTGGAGCCATTGAAACTAGATAAACCTCTAAAGTAATTGCCCCAAGATAACCTTTAAACTTTAAACCAAAAATATCAGAAAGTCTTCTTTAAACCAAACAACAGTGCAGTGTAGTAACATTACATAGTGTGGCTTTTCTAGCCATAGTCTTTATAAACTTGGTAGTGGAATTTGCCATGAGCAACTGAGAAGCTCTTGATCATTAAAGTTATCCACCTGGGGTATTTCTCTTGAGAGAGGCAGAAGCAATCTTCTGGGAAGTTCTCTCTCTCTCAGGTGTATAGAACTCTGATGTTGAGATTGGTTAGTTTGGCCATTCTGCCAGGCTCAAAAGGAGCCCTCCTAGAGGCAGAAGGAATCTCTCACTGATGGCTGAGAGACACACTACTGAGAGACAAGCATTTGCTGAGAGACAGATGCGAGAGACGTGCTACTGAGAGGCAGACATGAGAGACACACTGCTGAGAGAGAGAAAGACTGCTGGTTGCTAAGTGAGATAGCTGGCTGCGAGAGACTGAGTGCATTTCTGAACTTGAATTGTAGCCTGCTACTTCCCTAATAAACGCCATGATCTGTGAGTTCTGTGTGGTCACTGCAGTGAATTATTGAATCCAGCAGAGGTGGTGGGTGCTGTGGGAGGAACGGTTAGTGTCAGAGATGGTGAAAGGGCTGGAGGGAGGCAGCATGTCTGCCCTCATAGGAATAGGGCTTGGGCTACTGATGGTGATTCTGTCTTCCTCTTGTGGGGTTAGAGGAAGTTAGAAGATGTGGCCTGCTTACCCCTTCAGCAAACAGTTTAGCTTAATTAGTAAAGAATGTCTGCCTTGAGCTTTTTTAAAAACTACCTATATGGGGTCAAACTGACAACAACAACTCAAACAATTAAATGGGAAATTTAGGGAGGTAGTGAGTATATGCTGATATAGGAGGAACAATTTAGAAAAGGAGGGTGAGAGTGGTTGTATAACATAAAGAACACAATAAATGTCACAGAATTGTACATGTAGAAATTGCTGAACTGGTCCATGTTCTGCTGTGTATATTTTAAACAATAACAAAGAGTAATCCTGAACAGTCAGTGGTAGGTATGTTCCTGAAAGATGATTTTAAAACCAACTGCAATAAACGGAGTAACCAAAAACAACAGAAAAAGTTCCCTTGTTACTTACCATCACCTTTCGCAAAGTGTATCTTTTAGACCGAATGTCATCCATTAACATTTCGTAAGGAGTGAGCTGATATTCAATGGGCAAAGGATTGTACTGCCGCTCTTGGACCTTCTTAAGTTTTACACCATTCCGTAAATCTTTCATCACTTGTACCCAGAATCGAGCCTGAAAGAACCAAGGGTAGAGAGACATCAATGAGTAATCAACTAGTAATCAATTTACTAGTTTCCTATAAGCAACCATAGTCATACAGAATAAATGAAAACTTGGACTGTAAAACAATGAGACTATCAAACAAAAAGAATTTTAAAAATTAGATTTTAGGATACTAAAAGATGGCTAAATAGGCAGTTGAGAATCCACAGGTTTTACAAGCTGAGGGCCCTGAATTTAGATTCTAGTTCTTCCATTGTGGAAGATTTCATTAATGGCCTCATTCTTCACATAGACACCCCCAATGTCTACTCCCTGCTATGTGACTTTGTTCACTACAAATGAGAATTATACTCCTGAAACCTGGACTTTGGGTTTTCCTATATGATTTGCTTGACCAGTGGAGAAGCAGTGGACATGGCACGACTAACGCTTCCAAAGCAATGTACAAATAGGCCTCTGTTACCACCAAGAGAAGAAAATGCCTAGATTACCCTGTTGTACCCAGGATAAGGAAAAGAGACATGTAGAGTAGAGCTACCAAACTAATCCATATGGTCATGACTGAAATAAATGCTTTAAAAAAAAACCTTTTTATTGTGATTTGGTGAAAACAGCCTAACTAACCTTTGCACAAAAGAAAATGGTACTTTTAACTTGATAAGAGATCAAAGTTGCTATATAATGCTTTGTACACAGGAAAGGCTCAAAATATTCCAATTTATAAACTGTTACGTTTGAAGAAAATACTTAACCTCAGTTTTCTTATCTACAAAAACAAAAACAAAACAAAACAAAACAAAAACGGGCAAGTTGCATTGTCTACTTTCAAGAGTTCTGAGAATAAAATGAGATATGTATGGAAGTATTTATGAGAATATACTTTGGTCATGTTGTCAGAAGGGACTAGTCCTTGGAGAAGGATATCATGCTTAGTAAAGTGGATGGCAGCAAAGAAGGGGCCCTTAACAAGATGATTGACATAGTGGCTGTGACAACAGGCTCAAGCACAGCAAATCTTCTGAGGATGGTGCAGGATTTGGCAGTGTTTCATTCTGTTGTACACAGGGTCGCTATGAGTTGAAGTCAACTCAATGGCACTTAGTAACAACAACAACATATTATTATAACTGTTTTTCTCCTGACTGTATAATTGAAGCATCTTCTTTAGTGAAAAGTAAATCAATATGATAATTCCACCAGAGTTCCCATTAACTGAAATATTATAGTTTATTAAAATTAACAAGTTGTTTAAACTACTTAAAGCAATTATAAATCAAGTCATATGTTTCATAAGATTCTTGTATGTGTAACTCTAAATTTCTCAAAAATATCTTTAATAACAATTTGTGATTTTTAAAAAATGTACATGATTTATTGTTCTAAAAAGGGTAAGATGATGTTAGCTACTACTGATTTGGTTCTGACTCAGCAACTCTATGTACACAGAATGAAACTGTGCCAGGTTCTGTGCCATTTTCACAATCATTATAATTTTTTTAGTGATGCAGCAGCCACTGTGTCAATTCACCTCATTAAGAGTGTTCTTCTTTTTCTTTGACCCTCTAACTTTACCAAGCATGATGTCCTTCATCAAGCAATTGGTCCCCTCTGATAACATCCCATTTACACCTACAAGGTAAACCAGTTATTACAAATATTATTCAAATTTATGCATCTATTAATAATACTGAATATTTTTACCAACTTCTGCAGTCTGAAATTGATCAAACATACAATCAAGATGCTTTGATAATTATTGGTGATTGAATGTGAAAGTTGTAAACAAAGGAGGAGGATTGGTAGCTGGAATACATGGGCTTGGTGATAGGAAAAAAGCGTATCATATAAAATTGTGATATATCCATTAGAACACCTTCTAAAATATTTATATTTTAAAATATTCTTTACTTATGCCAATAAAAATATCCCACTTTCCCTAAAACATTTCTTTCTTGGTACTGTTTTTGTCTTTCTACTTCTTCTACTAATTCTTTTAAGATCCAGCTCAAATATTATCTCATCTTTTAAAATATTGTCTCTTCTCTTCATCTGTTCACCAATAGGTGAATGTTGCTGCAGTTAGGTGCTATTGAGTCAACTGCAACTCCTAGTTACCCTATGTATGAATGAATGAAAAATAGGTGAAGAGATAAATTATGGTACATCAACACAATGGAATACTCTTCAGCATAAAAAGAAATGAACTATTGATTGAGGCAACAACATGGCTGCAATCTCAAAATAATTATGCAGCCAGAAAGAAGCTAAATATGCATGTGTGAGAGTGTGTGTGTGTGTGTATACACACACACATACACATGGGAGCTCTGGTAGCATAGCACCTAAGGCACTTGACTGCTAACCAGAAGGTTGGTGGTGCAAACCCACCAGCCACTCCTCGGAAGGAAGGTTGGGCAATTTACTTCTGTAGTGATACTGCCTCAGAAACCCAAGGAGGGGTCGCTATGAGTTGGGTCTCACTCGACGGCATACAAGAACAACATATATACATACATATATATATATACACTTTATTATTATATTTATATAAAATTTTAGAAAGTTCAAACTAATGTATACTGTCAGAAGGAGATCAATAGTTGTCTGGGTACTGAGGAGGAGAGAAGAAGTAAAGAGGGATTATAATGGGGTATGAAGAAATTATAAAAAAGACCACACTTAATGGTCTGACAGAGACTAGGGAAATCCCTGAGACTATGGTCCCAGTCACCCTTCAGTCCTGGAACTGAACTTGTTCCCATAGCTTCCAACCAAACAACAGACATTCATATACAGTGAACATTACCACCAGGTAGCTACACTCTTTAGAACAATCAATGATGAGAGATTAGAGGGCAGCATTTGCACAGGGAGATAGCTCAGAGGAGAGGAATATACAGGAAGAAATGACACAGAGGTGTCCTTACACTTGGTGTCATTAACTACAGGGGAGGAAGTGGGAAGAGAGCTGTTACATTCTGGGGATTGCAATCAATGTTATGAAGCAAAATGTGTATGACTGCTGCTTGGAAAAGAAATTTGCTCTCTAAACTTTCCTAAGGAAAAAAAAATCTGTCCTCTGTTTTGGAATGTGAATTTTATGAAGAGATGTTCTATTACTCCAGGACCTAACCAAGTAACTGTTTACTGGAAAAAGAAATGCACTACACTATTTTTTCAGACATTATCCTGAAAATAGAACTTTAACTTACAAAAAATACCAAGAAGGGGTATGTCATAGTATTAATATAATGGAAATTTTAACCTTTAGTTTTTACTATGGTAAAATTTATATAACATGAAGCTTGCACTGTAACCATTTTAATGTACACAGCTCAGTGAGCTTCAGTACATTCAAAATTTTGCACAATCACCACCTCTATTCTAGTTTCAGAATATTTTTATCAACCCCAAAAGAGACTTTATATGCATTAGCTGTTGTTGTTATTGTTAGTTTTTGTCTAGTTGATTCCGACTCATGTGTGCAGAATAGAAGCTCCATAGTGCTTACAATACTGTGACATTTTGGAAGCAGATCACCAGGTCTACCTTGTTGTTGTTATGTGCCGTCAAGTCGGACCCAACTCATAGCAACCCCTCCCTGGGTTTCCAAGGCAGTATCACTATAGAAGTAGATTGCCAACCTTCCTTCCGAGGAGTGGCTGGTGGGTTTGAACTGCCAGCCTTCTGGTTAGCAGTCAAGTGCCTTAGGCACTATGTTACCAGAGCTCCGAGGTGCTTTAAACCCAGGGTGGGTTTTAATAGCCAACCTTTCAGTTAGTCTAGCACTCAACCCTTTGGACCACTACTGTTTATTAATAGTCACTCTCATTTTTCCTTACCTCCTGGCCCCCAATCTTTCTGTCTCTGGATTTAGCTATTCTGGATATTTCATTTAAGTGCTATCATACAACATGTGATCTTTTATGTATGGCTTCTTTTACTATGCATGTTTTCAAGGCTAATCTATGTCATAGCACTTCATTCCTTTCTATGGCTGAATAATATTCCATTGTATGCCTATACCACATTTTGTTTATTCATTTATCTATTGATGAACACTTAGGTTTGTGGTAGTTAAGGTTGTATATCAAATTGGCTGGGCCTCGTTGAGTGGCTGGGCAGCAGGATATAGTTATTCACCATGGTGAGATTGAACTTAACTCTATGGTGGAATCTACTGTGAGTAGTTGAGTAGCTGCCAGACGTGTGGTCTGCTTCCAGTATATAAGAAGCAACTTTGAGGAGGGTCACCAGCTGGTGGCATGCTTGAACCCTGCATATAAGTTGAGTCGTTGTTCAGCAGCCTGCCATGTTGTCTGCTGATCTTGGGATGTTTAATGGACTTGAATAAATGGCCTGCCTTGTGATTTGGTATTATTGGGACTAGTCGACCTTGGGTTTGTCAGCCTCAGCAGCTAGCAGCTGCCTGAGTGAAGAGATGCCTCTGTCTTCAATGCACTGGGAGCAAGAGGCGGAGCTGAAGCCCAAAGTTGAAGGGCACATCCAATCCCTAGAGAGCCTGGCACTTAGAACTTGGACTTCTAACCTCCAAAACTGTAAGAGAATAAACTCCTGTTTGTTAAAGCCATCCCATTTGTGGTATATTCCTGTCAGAATGGCATTAGGTAACCAAAATAGGTTGTTCCCACCTTTTGGTTATTGTGAACAGTGCTGCAATGAACGCTGGTGCACAGGTTTCTGTTAGCATTCCTGTTTTCAATTCTTTTGGGTATATACTTAGGAGAGTAAATGCTGGGTCATACGATAGTTCTCTGTTTAACCTTTGGAGGAACCATCAACCTGTGGAAACACAGCACCTGTATCATTTTACATACCCACCAGCAACTGATGTTGTTGTTGTTGTTATGTGCCGTCGAGTCGGCCCCGACTCATAGCGACCCCTCCTTGGGTTTCCGAGGCAGTATCACTACGGAAGTAGGATTGCCCAACCTTCCTTCCGAGGACCAGCAACTGATAGGGTTCCAATTTTTCCACATCCATGTTGT